CGAACTGGCTAAGTTGGAGGGTGTACAACGTGCTGCCACTAGACTCGTTGTTGGACTACGCGGGACCAGCTATGAAGGTCGTTTATAGGCAACTGGTCTGTTCCCAAAAGCGTATCGACGCCTCAGGGGAGATCTCATCTGCCTGAGAAAGATCCTGAGAGGTGATATGGGCTCCGAACTGCAACAGTACTTCCCTTTACGGACAGAGCACAGCACGCGGGGGCACTCTCATGTTGCGGAAACTTCAGTCAGTTGGTCTTCCGTGAGACTACCGACTCTCGCGTAGGTCAACAACACTCTGGAATTCCCTTCCGGCGATTGTGGTGGAAGAGAAGACAGACGCTGCTTTCAAACGGCGTCTGGATAAGCACCTGAAGGGGCTATGGAGGAACGAACACCTGTGATCGGACATTCGATCCAGTGGTGATGGGGCTTACACGGGCACTCTGCTCTCACTCCTGAAGAACGCTCGTTTGCGGTTATTCATCTACATCACATTGATGTATATCGCCAATCCCTCACCGAACCTGACCCCATGATACGTATCCCAGTTAAAAGATGAATGCAAGCAGTACAAGCCTTAATCAGTATTGCCAGCCGAACGTGGATTCAGGAAAGGAGAAACGTGCGGAATATGTAGGGTTCATCTCATTCGGGTCTTTTGTCCGGTATCGGGGGTACGAGCGCACCGATAGAGAAATTGTACAAACCAGGTTGCCGTTATCTGATCGTCAGCCTGACGACTACGTTTCCAGGCCCTCTCGATAAAACGTCAGCACATTCTCAGGGTGGCGGATGATCCCAATCCACTTCAAATTCAAACCGCGAGAATTTTCAGAAGGTTAGGCTTCTCAGGACACAAATTATGTCAACATGTTTAGTAGGATTGGAGGTAATCACGATAAAATGGGAATGAAACTAATCAACATTCCACTTGCATGTTTTTCATACGTTGGTCATCACACGCAGTGGTTCGGGTCATTAGGGACAGGTGGTCGAGTCTAGTGCTTCCGAGTGTATGGTTGACTGGAAGAGCTGAGGAATGTGCGTGAAGGATGATGAATTCTAATTAACCAGTCAGTCAATAACAATTATCCCACAGCACTACTCACAAATAATTGTGAGTTAAATGCGAATAAATGATAGTTCCACTTTGGTATTCTCTCATTTGGCATTAAATGATGTACCGCAGTCAATGGATACTGTCGTTTATATTAATACTACTCAAACATTCCTAGTAGTCAAACTGCAAATGCTGAAACATTCAAATCTGCTTTCGGAGAATTAACAGTGAGCAAATGGACGCTAAATTTTATGAGCATGCGGTTCAATTTCATCATACTACGACCAGTCTCAAGGAACCGCAATCCTGCTGTGGCAATTTGTCCCTGTACAAATCATCATAGCGTAAGAAAGATAGGGATATCCGCATTCAAAGATGTCTGCCTCAAAGCAAACCAGAAGGAAGTTGAGCAATCGAAAAGCCCCGAACCATGATTGTACGGTAAAGACAGAGAAAGCAGGATTCGATTTATGAAATTGCGAGGTCGTAGTCAAATAGTGAGCATATTTGTCGAGGGACTCACTGAAAAGCAACAATCGACTTGTTGTTGTTCGAGCTCGTCTTTAAATGCGATTTGGAATGTGTGGTGGACTTGTGAAAATCGATTCGACTAGGGGTGCGCAGACTGCTCTCACATAGACCGCACCAAAACCCATGCGCGGTAGCCGTAAAACCGTGCTGTAGACGAGCCAACAGGACAGCTTGTTTCTGGGCCAATTCGCGTTTGGCTAACTCACAGTTCAAGGTCATCTGTTCCACTTCCATATGACACGTGGTAACTAGCCTTGTGAGCAAATGACTGGTCTGCGGGTTGAATCGAGAGGTAGTTTCCGTGGAAGCGGACTAGAGTAAAAGAAAAAGCATGGCCTCAATGGTGCAGAAATTTAAACAGTTTACGATGGTGGATTAGAAAAACTGACAAGGAAAGCGATCATCTTAACTCAGTTTGTGTTCTGTCACTTCCCATTGATAGACTGATTTATACGTCACTTTGAACAATGTTGAAACCTGTCCCATGAGGCTCGGAGAAACGTATCTACATCGTAACTACTTCAAGATTTGTCCACAGCCCTTGGCTCATGTCAGATTCATGAGCCATGGAAACTGATATTGATTTGTCAATTGCTCAGTTATGAAAACAAGAATTCTCCCGAGATTATTTTGGTCGATTTGCGATGGGACCAGCACTCAAGAATAAATTAATCGATTGTTTATTGAGTGAAGTAGGTTCCTTCTCACTGTTGTTTTTGACATGGATTCGACCTAAATGTGCAGGAGGAAACATACGGGCGGTATACATGGCTATGAACTAAAAGTCACAATTTAGTTGAACACACTGTCCTAATGTAATCTCCACGGGGAAGCTCCGTCACACATTGATGAACGTCCGACAGATTAGGAGTTCGTACATTTAACTGATTGCATCGGTTGTCAAGGCTTTGTCATATGCGAATTCTGTTGAGGATCGGGCAGGGATTACTGGTTGACGAATAACGTAGATCCAGGGTAGTTAGTGCATTAAGCTTTTAATGATTGTGAGATGAGTGATACACTTGCGCATTCGCACTCATTATGATAGGCTACTTGATCAGATAAGCCTACGAGCAGGACGAGTTTATCAGGTTACAGAACAGCGTTTTATTCCCTTGCACTCATCTTCCCCGGATGGATCACTATGATGGTGGCAGATGTGAATCGTAGTAGGTCAGCATCGTATCTTCCCGGATTTCAGATATTTCACTTTCGGACCATCGTCTGTCCAACTTAGTCGAGTCTATGAAACACTAACCGTTTCTGAAAATGGTACAATGGTACAATAGTACGAACATACACTTTCATTTGCTTAAAACGCAGAATATCAGATGCGTCGAGTCTAACAGTCTGTCAATTACGAAATCGTACTCGAAAAGTAGTCTAATACACCTCGATTCCTCCTGGAATGGTTTCGGTGCACCAGCCGGAGCTTTCGCAAGATATTGCAATAACAGCGAGAGGATGGCAAAGTGGGAAGTTATTCTATAACAAACGTCAACGGGACACGACTTTGCCGCCAGTAGTAATTTCTTTTAAACCCTGGAATGACTAAATTATTCCCCTCATATGACGTACTAACCACCCCCACACATACGTTTTAAATTGCCACCAGAACTGAATAGAACACAATAAACCAGGAGCAAATAGGTCTAAAATAGGGAAACGGTTGATCGGGGTGGATGAGTATGAAACTGTTTGAAGTCAAATTCAACCAACAGATAGACGTACCTGTAAGATGTAGGACACAATAGATGTCAATGAGATACTCCTGGGCAAGTAGGAGAGCAGACTGTGAAACAAATCATTGATATCTGAAAGCAAAGAGAAGAACGGAAATGGTGAAGACCATAGTGACCAGCACGATAACAATCATCGAAGTAAGAGATGAAATGGGAGGACACGAAAAACGCAAGTCGCCAACAAAAGCAATAGTTGGCCATCTGAAAAAGAATGGTATATTCTGTATAACTTGTCTGCCATGGAAACCAAAACCACGTCCAACGTTAGAACATATTGGTTGCTGAGGCAAAGAAATTCATTGTGCAGTAAGACACTTGGTCGTTGATGAATACAAACCAATGGAGAAAAAGGTGTGCAATTGCAAGATCGAATTCAACCGACGTTGGATTTTGAGACGACACGAACTCTTTCTTTTAAATTTTTACTTCCTTTTAATGAATAGATATGGATACAATTTTCAGGGAGAGGGAAGCGACCTATCAAGGGGCTGCTATACAACACAACGCAGAATGTCAGGTGGTGGTGGCGGGATTCGAACACACTTTCTTGAGGGTGATAATTTGGTGACGTTACCACCAGGCGACCATCGCCCAAAAATGGCAAGTGCAACCAGTGAAATGAATTGAGTAAACCAATGACCAAGACGGATGTGTTTAATTGAGCTCTGTTTTATACAGCCGATCATGCATTCTGACTTAAGCTGAGATGCGGTAGAAGTGACGGAAGCATTTATTGAACGGCACGGGCATTTCAACAGATGAATGTATCGGAAATCGACTGTCAACTAACCGGTCGCATCTGATAAGCCGTTCAAACTAGTCTTGCCAACCTGAACTGCATCATAAACAAAGCAACAAAATCAGAGGAGAGGTGAGGTATGTTAATAGTGAAATCCAACAACAGACATAGTTAAGCCCATGAAAAAATACAAAACTGCTTTGCACAAATCTCAGACAAAAGGGATGCTGATTTACGCTGCACAGGTCAGACTTGAGTACACGATTTTTAGGTTAACTGAAAAATGAAATCCTTCGAATTGATGAAAAAATAGTAAAGCTACTTTCGAAAAAAGAGAAATAACCATCGACGTAATACTGACTTCACAAATGTGTAACCCTAGTTTTTCAAACTCACCTGATTCCAAAATACGGCTTTTTGACGCTTGTTCCTCGTGAAGAAGCACATCGATCACATGAAACCAGATCTTCTAAAAGTGTGGGATAAGGAACGAATAATTTAGCTCTGTTAAATATTAAGTACGGGGAGATGTAAATTAAACCGAAACAATCAATGGACAGAAATAAGTCAAATAAACTGAGAGCGGGGAATTTTACATGCATATCCATATTGGTTAACCATCGAAGGAAGAAGATCCGAAGTTTGGAGTTCATTGCATTGTGACCGATGCCCTTTATTCTAAGTTTTCTGGCAATGATTTGCACTGGGTTCGAATAATCGTGATGTACCAAATCAACAAAAAATGCTCTTTCCGAAAATCTTTTGTAGAGCGTTGGAATAGTGCTTGGGCACAGGAAACCAGCACTGCATTAGATAGAACTTTTATCTATTGTGAAAACGAATGAAACCGATATCTGATGTAGTGATGAGCAATGCAAGCCTACCTCGCAGTTTTCCACTACTGCCGAATCACCAGATACTGGAGCGGAACAGCGTTGAGCAAGAACAAACCACAAGTCGGCTGCGTTGCGCGCCGCGATCCGAGCCGACTCAAAGAGGTCCGAGTTGGTTGATGAAGGCGAGATTCGAGAAACATCTTCGTGCCCAGAATCCGTGGGAACCAGAGACAGAAGATGATGCCAGGCGGTGAGGAACATCTAACAAGAAAAAAACAAGCTGACTAGATAACGTTTAAAGGATGCAAAATTGTGTTGTTAACAAAAACTGTAATTGACTAGATGTGTTGAAACACAACCGAATAGACTAATAACGAAGGGCTTTTCTGGGAGGATTGGGGTGGGAAGTGGTAGATACAACATCAGCTGTGACTACGTGCAACAGGGTAGCTGATAAGCTTCTCACGCTAACAGACAACTGACGAAATTGCGGGATCAGCTGAGTTCAATTGGCTTACTAGTTATTTTGTGTATGCACAAAGAACACTGACCATTAAGAAAACTCCTGTGGAGAGCAAATGAATGGTAATTGTGTCATCCTTTGAATTGACGTGTAAGTATACTTGTGTGTGAGGGAGAGGGGCTCTAATTCTAGCTGTAGCTCACATCAGAACAACATTCAACCAGTCTAGCGAAAGACAATGAAGAACATTGACGTGTCAGTCGAAATTCTGCAGACCAAAAAAGAAACCGGGACGATTCAGGGAGCCCCAAGTTCGGTTTCGGTTCAGTTTGTAAAGCAGTTTCGTTCGCCGGTTTTAATTACTGTCTTTCGGTTGCTCATCTAGACGAACAGTAGGAGAAAGACGGGAGAGTAGAGTGAACGAGACAATGGAGAATTCCGGCAGACTCAGGTTGCAAAGAAATNCTCAGTGTCTCTAACCACTGATTACAATGACGTCGGGGTCCCCATCCAGGGAGCCTGATGAAACCTACTTGACCGAGTCTCCCGGTTAGGATTTTCATAACCTCGTTCCAGGTATTAGCTTGACCACCCATGGCTTTTTTCCACCAACTACCTGCTTTGGCAAACATTGCGCGCCGTGGCAACCTATTTGGTGGTATGCGTAACACAACCGAACTAACGTATTCTATAGAGGTCGACTACTTGCTCCAGTGGGCGATCACGGTTACCCAAAACCTCAGAATTGCTTGTCCAGCTGCGCCACCAAATTCGTGCTATGCTACGTAGACAGCGGTGTACATACACCGACAGTTTATCATTATCCTCTTTTCTTAATGGCGTCGTAGAGCAGAACTGGCCGAACGGCTGCAGCATACACTCGATCCTTCAGAGACAACTGGATGTTGCGACGGCGCCACAGATATCTCAAGTTGGCAAAGGCCAAACGAGCCTTCTGTGTGCGAGCTGACACTTCATCCGTGTTATGTTACGGGTCGGAAAAAGGGGTAAAAGGAGAGGGTTGAGTAGTGAACACAAAGAGTTCAACAAAGATCGGAATGTCTGAGCAGTAACCCGCTTGTCATTACCATCGCACTCAAGGGAGAGGTAGTGTGACCCTTATTATCCTGCCCGACAACCGATGCAGTATGGAATTCTTTATAGATTGTGTACGCATTCAACTATGTCAACTGTGTTGGAAAAAAAGTGAAATTAACAGTGCGTCAGCAGCCCAAGCTACTCGAGCAGTCTGAGTTGAAGCTGATGGTGGCTATGATTTAAATAAAATAAGACGTTGCATTAGCTATTGTAATCAATCAGTTAATTTTCAATTTGTCTATTGACTATCACAGCATCAGTGAGTTTGTGCTTCATTCGTTATACGAGTATCGTACGGTCTGCAAAACTCCAAAAGGAACTTTTGTCGATGAGCTACTAGTCCTGGAAGACCACACCCGATTCCGACCCGGAAAACTATGAATATCGACAGCATTCTGCTTTGGTTTCCCCCATAACAAACAAACGAAGGTTTCACACGAAGAAACAACTATTCAAGACACTTGGAGAGCATTCGTTGTCTATTGACAAACGAAATCAGCCCAGGAACTTGAACATGCGTTCTACGTGAGAACGGGTCAGACATAATGAAATCGTTCAGTGGTAGTGGATAGCTTAAATTGAGCACAATTAAGATGGAGCAATTGAAAACTGGGTAGACCCGCACATGAAAAAGAAACGACAAAGTGTTCGTTTGGTGGAAATCACCGAGGATGATGACAACAAAAATAGGCAAGAACAATCAGATCATTTAACAGTTTGGACATACGTGTTCGTAGATATCTGAAGCTAAGGCGAACTGGCCTTGTTTCTCGTAGAGATAAGCGCACTCGCGGGGGAATTCTGTGGGAGAAAGAAACTGTGGTGATCGGGTGGATTGAAGCACAGCAGCGAGGAGGAGTATAGCGAAAATGCGCGGGTAAGAGAGAAAGAGAAATACAAATAAATCGGTAGTCTGTATGAACCACTGAATAAGACAAAACGTAAGCGATGAAATTAGGTCGGACAAAAAACAGTCGCCTATTAAAATTAAAGACGATAAATGTACACATGGACAACGGAGAATGAACCGAAAGGGGGACAAAACGAAACAAGCAACAAAAAAGTAGCGATGATATGCTCCATTCTGGACACACAAATGCGACGGATAAAGTAATAAAAGGACAACCTAAAACTCGAATACAAACCAGAATTCAAAGTTGATAGTTTCTATGATCATGTACAAATGTGAATGGATCATGATATCCACAGTTTCTTTCTCAACCAAGTAGATTCATTAGCTATTGGTCTAAGCACAAACTTGAAACTCATTGTTGGATGAGATAATGACTACTTCTTTTGGTTACAACAGCCACTGTTGAAGAAATAGAAAATGGTGAAATAATATGGGAGGTGTGTGTGTGTGTGTGTGTGTGTGTGTGTGTGTGTGTGTGTGTGTGATCTGTCACGTGCCATCCGAGCGAGGAAGTCAAGTGCGTGGGTTAGGTACTGAATAGTGAACGAAACTTCTAGAATAGCCGCTCAATCACCTCCCAAAAAATATAATACACCGCATATAAAGTTTACCAAAAGCGATTCAAACATGAACCAGGTCGAGTCATTATTAACTCAATATCACAGAGAACGCAAGCGGTTTATTCAAATTACACAGTTACACAGATGTTACAAATTTTAAGTATATATTACAAACTGCATTCCGGTTTTCGAATTACTGGAGGACCTGCACATAACCACCTCAAGGCAGTCAAATCATATCTAAGATCGAGGTGGGATGAAGGTTGAACCTACCTGGAGAACAACAGCCGTTCGATAATCTGAGTTCGTTTCTAAGAACCGTAGTAGTGTCGGATCTGCATGATCGGTTCTCGCCATTAGACGGATATAACCCTCAGCCATTTCGGGGTGAGAGTGAATGATAAATCGCTCCCATTCGGTATTCCCAAGATTTGCCATGGAGGTTGATGTTGTGAGAATATCAGAGTTAGCGCGTGAAACACGANNNNACAACTGACTGGAGAGAGAGAGAGCAACGTCAAACCAAGGAAGATAGTACTTACCGAGCACGATAATATGCGGACAGGAGCAGTTTACAGGCCGTTTCTTGATCTTGTGATGAATCGAGAAAGGTCACCTTCTCGGATGCGGACAGGCTGGCGAGTTCCGGAGACACTTTGGATAACAGATTCGGTAACGGTACACGAAACATATGAAATAGCAGACGAAGGGTTCGTTCAGCATCCCAAGTGGCTAAAAGCTACCAAATTCAAGAATGTTATAAAACCATCAGGATTAGGTAAGAACATCTACACGTTATACAAACAGAAAAAATAAACGGTCTACACAGGATCAAAATTTAATCGCAGTAGAAAATGACATTGAAATTTGATTGGTTTCGCGAGGTCATGGTAACAAGTTATCGAATGACAGACCGCACAGAAGTTCCAATCATGAACTTTTAGCAGTGGGCTGCGGAAATTCAGACAGCCAATCAGTAGACAGGAAAGTACGGTGGCTAAAACGGGTTTCGAACAAACGTACTGCGAGGTAGTGACACGAAGGCTTACATCACTCGACAACTATCGTACAGGTTGTCAGATACTAGGAGTTATCGTTCAGGAGGATCTCGGATGTTCCGTGGCTTGTGCCAGACCGTCATCAACGGCCTTTGGGCAAGTTGGGGTACTCGATCGTGTTCTTGGACAGTCCGAAACAGGCCCATTGACCCGTTTGCTATCCCTGTACATGAGAGCACACACCAACTATGCTAAACAAATTTAGAATCCATGACGAATTCGTGAAAGTCAGCAGAGAATAGCAACNAAGCCGTAACAATCCGTAGAAAGGTGGTAACTCATTGGGCTCTATTCACCTCAATACCGTCGAATTCGGAGAGACATGATTCCTATATATCAGACATTGCACCAACCTGACCACCCGTGTAGTAGTCTACTGAAAATATCTAGAGATGATAGTTCCAGGATACAGACCTTTGAACTGTTGCTCCAAAAGAGTCCAATAGACTACCGGCGTCAATCTTTCAGCCTCAGAATACGTAATACCTGGAACGCTCTAACAGCCTAAATTCTTTGTGTTCCAACCAACGATTGATTCAAGTCTCAGCTCACCCGCATACACAAACAGCGTCATTTCGCAACTTATCCGTCTCTTAGTTGATAGTGAATTTGTCACTTGCTTGAAGAAAAGACGAGACGAGACGAATTGACAAAAACTGCATAAACTGTTGTTGATCGATTCATTAATGGACCAAAACAACAAGAATAACTCCAATCCAAATCCACTAGATATACTACGTCATTCCAATAAAATGATGAAATCCTCGTCAATATGTGTTCAATCATACTAGGTACTTAAAACATGTCCGCTCATTGAGATGGTACAAACCGATTGAAAAAACCTGGTACAACAGACCTGAACATTAGCCAAAACAATGGACTGGATCCGTTCCAACTCGTCGGAAGAGGAATCATACGTGGAACCTGTGGAGCGTCGAGGAGTTTCGGGGAATAATTGTTCCAGGAATGCAAATATCATACTCGCCAGCTGTTCCATGGAAGAGTCCATAAATCGATTGGAGCTG